GAGGAAGGGGAGGAAGGGAGGAATGAGGGAGGGGAGGAAGGAGGAGGAGGAGGAGGGAGGAAGGAGGGAAGGCAGGAAGGTAGGTGAAGAGAGAGGAGGAGGTATGAGGGAGAGGAGAGAAGGGATAGAGGGGAGAGGGAAGGGAGGAGTGGGGAGGGAGGAGGAGGAGCGGAAGGAGAGTGAGGGAGGGAGGGAGGAGGAGGTAGGAGGAGGAGAGGGAGGGAGGAGGACGGAGAGAGGGGGAGGAGGAGGAGTCATTACGTAGATGAAAAAGTAATTCTAATGTATCTATTCTGACCTATATCTTCCCCTAAGGTTCTTGCTTTTTACTGCCTTGACTTGATGTATGGTGTCAAGTTTGCAAAGATTGACATTAACTTCCTTTCTGGAGTCATCACAATTGGGATTTTTAAAAGAAAGAAAGAAAAATAAAAAAAAATTAACCAATTGACATCCTTGCAAATAAAGAACTGATCACCAGAATATCTACACCCTTGTCTATCAATTCTATGACTTGTTGAAAGCTCAATACAAAGCACACAATGCTTTAAAAAGTAGTCTGATGCCTTGTCAAATATTGCACAGTTAATACTATTCTCACTTCACCCTACATGAAGTCATTGGTGTTTTAGATTGGAGAGTTTATAATTGTCTGTGGTTTGATAATGAAGTGAAATAGGAGATGAAATAGAAGCAGAATAGAAGCTTAAAAGATTCTTAAAAGTTACTACTGCATCTGCTCAATTAAATTTTCCAACTTTCAAGAGAGGTCCAGCTTTTAAACGATGTCCACCTGAGACACCTCTCACAGTAGTTACAGATTCATAGAAACCATCTGAAATATTCATTGAGTAATAGAATGGTAGAAACAATAAATCATCTACCCATGCATGTGAAATGTTTCACAAAGATAGAACAAAAAATCTTGGTTTTGTTGTCTTTGAAAAGGAGTAATTACAAAAACATTTCCCTATTGCTCTAAAATCGTGGTTAGTTTGAAGATGATTTTGAAATAAAAGATAAAACTTCAATTTACACCTTTTCTTGTTATTTATTTTAGAGGTGATGATGGCAGAATTTTATCACAATTGCCCTTTTGTTAAGATCTGTTTTTATTCCAGGTGTATCCACATCTCGTGGTTTGAGAGGAGCAAGATTCACTCGTGGTGGCAATACTAGTCAGAGAGGAACAACCACTTTACGTGGCTTTAGTTCTTCATTTCGGTGAGTCCAGAGAATGCTGACTGACAACATGGATTGTTTTCTGAATTTTATTTTTAACATTTTTATTTCCATATCTTTACTTTTTTAGAAGAGGGGGCAGGAGTGGGGGTGTGCGAGGCCGAGGTCGACGTGGTGGAGCTAGAGGGCGGCAGCAGAAACTCCCCTCGAAGGAAGAACTAGACCTCCAATTGGATCAGTACATGGCAAACACAAAGTCACATCTTGACAAAGAATTGGATTCGTACATGAACCAAACACCATCAGAAAATTGGGATTAGTGATAAAATTGTGAAATTGGATTGCAGTCTGAGGGAATAGCAGAGTGCAAATTTGCAGTGTTGAGAAAAACAGAGGCTAGTGGTTGTTTGTTTTCTGAAATCAACACTGTCTTCCTAATTGCAGTTTTAAAAGAAATACTTAACCCTTCTTTTCTTTATTTAGTCATTCGAATCTCTCGATGTATATAAGTGATGTTGGTTCTTGTTTGTATCCGCTGTTATTTGTTGCAAAATTTGTGAACTGGTATTCATAGTACATGTGATGATGTTGATTGTCACTTTTTCTACTGTAAATCTTGAGTTTATTGTTCAAATTCATTACTGAGTTTGAATTTCATTTGAAGTAAATGATTGGTCTTTGAATAATCTTTTTCCATCTCTCGGATAATAACTTCATGAACTCATTAGTATGTTTGCTGTGAAATTTAACTACCACTTTAAATTATTTTGTTATGTGATTTGTGGTTTTAATGACTTTAAATAGTATGAATGTAATAACAAGCTTCAGTTCAAGAAAGTTAGATGTCTGAGAGAATAGTTCAATTTGTATTGCCTTGGGTAGTAAAAGATCATTAGAACAGGTAGTTAAGATCTAAGTTTGATGCATTTATTTCAGTGTTTTTAAGACATAATTTGCTTTTGCTTTTTAAAGAAAGAGAAGTATTAAGTCTTACAGTACTTGAGCCTTCCCATCCTCATATTAAAGATCCAGTCGGATGTGGTGCAAATGACAGAAGTTGCCATTATGATGTTAAAAATGAGTGACATGGTTCATATCACCCTTAGTTCCAAGTAGACAATGATTAAATTAAATTATCAGAAATTATTTGAGTACTGCACTTGCCACTTTGTAAACAAATGTAACAAATGATACCTTTGCAGTGACTGAAGAAAATCTATTGTGTTTTAGAGTTAAATGAAATTATGTGCAGAGAATACGGGTGGATGCGAGCATAAAAAAATGTTTGAAATTGTGTAAAATAAGAATTTTTACATTATGAGATCTGTAAGTGTAACAAAAATAAATTCTCAAATTTAAACTATGTAGTTAACTAAAATAATTTCATCCTGTTTTCTTGAGTAAAAATTTGCTATTTTAATAAACATGCCACTGTAGTTTTAATGAATAATTGATATAAATTTCCAAAACTGTTCTATTTAAATTTCTCATAACGGTTCCTTTTCATTTAACATTGTAATTGTTTATTGAGTTTTTTTTAAAAATAAATAATTCATGTCTGGGATAGTTTTTGCTCTGATTTCTCTTAAATTTTCTGTTCTGGAGCAGGCAAGTTATTTTTGTACTAGAAAAGAAAATCTAAAGTATTTTGGTATGTTATCAATATTTTCTTAATATTAAAATAATTTATTTAATACAAGTTTTTAATCATTTTGTTATATTTATCCCTGACACTGTTGGCACTATTTTGGGTATTTGACATAAATTAGACTCGCCATAGAAAAAGATTTCAGTCAATTGTGAAGGACTAATCAAAGCAGAAAGGAGTCGTCTTGGAGTCTCAGTATTTGCGGTGTCATTCTTCTAACTTCATGGCAAGCAGGTAATGGGAGATATGCACCCATGTACGTATTAGCAAGATTCCTCACCGCTTTAGGGGGTGTCCATCAATTACATGACGCAAATTTTGAGTACTTTGAATGTCCCCCCTGTAATATACCCGTAACATGCGTTTGAAACCCCACCTCCGTAAATAATTGCATAACACAGCGACATTCCCCCTCACATTTTCAAGTAAAATCAAGTCAAGCGTGTTCAAAACAATTGGTATTAATTTCATTTGTTTTATGCATTAAAATTTATAAGATTAGGGGTAATTTTTGAGTGAAGGAAGGACGCAAGGACGTGAAAATTCCTGACTAGTAGTTCACACACCATTGTAGACGATATTTGGGTGAGAGTACAGTGCCAATTTACTTGGATTCTAAAATATACTACAAATCAGCTTTTAATATTTTTTTTGTAATCTTGCACATTCGATCAAAATATTGATGGAAAAAATATTTCCATTTATTGCAACAAATTGTACTTTATAACTTCAATTTATTTCTATTTTAAAAACTATTTGCTCATGTTTTAGTATGAGTGAATAATAGAGGTTCTTCAAAAGCACATACTTTCTCACAATGTATACAATATGTCACAATTTCTGCCTTTCTTGCACTTAAAATGTTACATCACTGTATCTCGTTAATAACAAATTGTGGCATATTTATTGAAAACTTAAAATGAAAATATATTTCTGCATTCATTTCAATCTATTAACAAGCATATCCAATGCCTATTTAAGCCTTACATCATGCTGTGTAAGCAGTATGCAAGAATGTAAAATAATTAAAAGTTCATAAATAATATGATCAACCTGTGACATACACCATGGCATGTTATCAGCACTGCTTTAGAGCAACAATATACATTTTACAATGCAGTAGCACTGCTAGCATTAGCAAAAAAATGTAAATAGATAAATATAATGATAATTATTAAATAGTACAGTATTCTAATACCAAATATGCTTGTCTGAACATGTAAAATACCCCCAAAATTAAAATATCAGTTTTAAAATCAAAGGGCCGCGACATTAGATTGATTGGGGAATATCAATCTTGCAGAAAATCGGTTGAACGATTTAGCCGATAGCGTTCACCCCGGACGGATGTTCACGGTTAGTTCTTTATAATCAAACTTATATACTTGAATTTAAACGGGCGGATCCAGAAACAAATTTGGGGAGGGGGGAGCGATTTGTATTCCTATGTGTGTGTATAATATATCTACTCTATTATTTCAGTAGTATACATAGCTTTTGCGGCTCTGACACGCAACCGATCTTTATAAATGGGGTATCTAAAGAAATAATTGCACGATGACGCGACATATTGCACTTCGACTTTGAAAATGATTTTTTTATCTTCTAAATAAGCACGTCAAACGCAGTTCTCATATATATCGTTAACTCCTAAACTAAGCATTATTGTGCCTCAAAAACTAAAATTTTGAGGCCAGGAGCCGCAAAGAAACGTTTCTCACATCGCAGTCTGTAGGATGAGATGTTCTTGGACATTCTATTAAAATTTTGCTGGTTCGGCACTTATCGTTACTACCAATGCCACCTAGTTTCCAACCCTTGGTGATGGTGGCCATCTTTGTGACGTCACGCTTAGAAGCCTCAGATTCCTCTGTTACTCTATTTACGTCTTCTGAGTACATCTTGGTTTGCGCAGACTGACCTGGTTTATTTGCATAATTATTATTTGAAGATTGTCTCTCGCAGCAACATCTAGTAGTTGCTATTGCTCATTAATAGTTGCTCAATACCGATGAAGATTGTTTCTTATGCGTATAGTGAAAACATTTATTTAACGTTTTGCCATGGTGTCCAAGTGTTAAGAACGTAATTATGGAAGGATGTAGGTGTACAGTGAAGAGAGAAGACATGTCTTGTTAGGTTTGGTCTGTATTTTACCTGTACCAGTATTTTCGTTATCATGAGTGATTGGGTGAAACTTTCAAGTCAGCATGTTTCTAGCTTTCTCAACAGTAAAAAGCTTTTTAATATTTTTGTGACTATCAAGGAAAGCGAAAAGCTAACTGTCAAGGAACTTCAAATATTTTTAAGGAAGTGTGAATTGTTCGAAGAATATTTCTCTATAATACTGAATAAACCTTTCTTAAAAATTTGTTTCCCGCGTCAATTGCATTGTTCTTATTTTTGTTTGATATTGTGTAAGTTAGTTATATTTATATACTTTTAACGAATAAACACGTTTCATTATCAACTTCCCTTCTGAATGGAAAGGTTAGGAAAATGGTGGGGATTTTATATATCACAAAGTTGTGTTAGTTACACCATTTATAACTCGAAAAAACTGGACCAACTTTAATTATCTATGATTTGCCGGATTCATCTCCGCCCGGAATAGCAGAATAACTATTAACAAATCGGAAAATTTCACGAAAAAGACAAACTATATTCATGCTAAATGCAACCCGCATCACTCTGCGATATTATTTTTTACTAAATGTCGTTAAATAAGTCCTAAACGAAGCGTTCTAGGGCAATAAAAACTAAAATTTTGAAGCGGAAGGACTCAAAGAAACGTTTCTGACACCGTGATCTGCAGGATGAGATCTCCTTGAATTCTACTACATTGTTGCTGGTCCCGCGCTTCTCGATATTTACTCACCTGCCCAAATACATGCAGAATCTGAAACTAAATGTGTGTGAGAGGAAAGGAGAAGGAGGGAGATGAAGGGCAGGATAACGTCTGCCGGGTTTCGCTGGTATATACATGCATACTCTAGCCAACCCACCTACCTATGTACAACTTACCACCTTCACAGTAGCAGGCATGAACCGTAAGCGGGTTATCAAGCAATTTTGCTTGTGAAGCGAGCCTTTAAAAATCTAGGGAGCGCAGGAATTCAGGGTGCGAGAAAGGTTTGAACTTGACACTAATAAAAATCACACGATTGCACACAACGAGCGTAATAATTTACCATAAACTTTTAGTGCATTAGTTTAATGACAGAAACCAAGAATATAGATCACACTTTTTTACAAAGAATAAATAACACACGATAGAACTTTACAACACATCAAATATGAATGACACATATTACTTGAAGATTGATTCTGAAAATACCTAACCTTACCTGGGAATTCTTGGAAAATTAATTTATTTAAATTGTTAACTATTCTAAATTTAATTGCACCGTGAAATCAAAAAATCATTTCAATCTCTCGCTTCAAGATATTACATGTAAAGAACAAAATGTTGGTTTGCAGAGTGCACTAACTCTTAATTTAATTTAAAACTGTGTCTGAAAAATAGCGGAAATAATAAATGTTCCTAGGTAGAGATTTTTTAGGCAGGACATTAGGCGCATCAAAACGTCTCTATTATAATGCTGTAATTTGTGTTCACCCTGTGGTCCTCAATTCTGTTCGGCCCCCAACACTTTCATATACTAGTTTTCCCTGCGACAGTGAACTTACCCATTTTCCGCGGTTCCAACTGTAAGGACCTTCGTGGACTTGCTCACTTTGGCCTTGACTGATGTTCTGCGCTGGTCGCGGCTGGCCGCTCGTCCATCGCTCTGCGAAGTGAGGCAGCGGGATTTCGCCTCTCCGTTTGCGTTGCCTTCTTTCGTCCTTCTCCCGTTCTTCTTGTTGTCGATCATCTTCTTTCGTGTGGCCTGAGCCAGCTCGGCCTCTTCTCTTTCTTCCTGTCTCTATTCGGCGCCCTCTGACTTACGCCCAAGTTGCGGAAAATGTCCTTGCGACTTCACTGCAATAATCTCTGCCGAAGTTTTCTCGTCGTGCCTACTTCTCTACTGTTGGCTAAGTCAGAATTTCAATGCGCTCTCTCTACAACGTGCGACTTCTTTACTTCCGTGTTGTTAATGATAGAAACACTACTTAATCTTTCCAATATTCGGAGGAGATAACTAAACTGCTTGTTCGACCGCCGACACACTCCTACTAGTAGTCCGTTGCGAGCGGCAAAAACAATCTATCTTAATGTTTAACAGAAATGTTTGACTCGTCGAACGGTGATTCACAAGAGGCAGCTGCAGAGTAGTATAATATCAGAGGACGGCAGTCATTGTAAACGAAAGCCCTTATTTTCGTGGAGCGGAGAAAATTCCGAACTCTCCCACCCCAAACAGAACAACGAATTGAGAAAGAGCCAGCCATATAATTTGCCCCCCAGTCCAATAAGGCGTCGAAGGCAGAGTTAAACAAATTTGAAATGGAGACGGAACGTGAAACACGGGGCTATTTGAAATTACATTATTTAGTACATTTTCATATGCGGACATGGTTAATGTTACTTAATGAATTTATTTGACAAATAAAAAATGGAATGCCAAGGTAATTGTAAAGTCAGTAATTTCTAAGGATAATGTAATTGGTGAAGAAAGTGGAATAAATTGTAATGATAGGAGAAGTAAATTAAAAAGAAATTTTTTTTTATTAATATATTTATTGTAAAATTTGGCAAATATACAACAAAATAACAATGGTGCATGAAAATCTGTTATGTGAAACAGGAACAATCATGGTCAAGTATCATTTGTGTACTACTCATTAATTACTAAATATATACTTCATGCCTAAACGAAACAAATAAAATAAATGTCACAATAAATCATACGCCAAATGCATAGGAAACAAGTCAGTATAATAATATATACTATAAGCATACAATCACACAATAGAGAATTTCCTAAAATGAATTAAGACCAAAATTAAATTTTTAAATCTTCATTCTTGTATTAAATACAATATCATGGAAATGGTAATTTAATTTTAAACATGGAGTGGTAGACTTAATTTAAATATCAAATAATATATAATATTAAATAATAATAATTAATAATAATAATAATAATAAAAGAAAATTCCTCCATAGATTTCGTGTCCTAGCGCTTGGTCAGTCATAATATCACAAACCAGTTCATGGGGGGTTTGAAAAATGGTGCAGCAGAAAATGCAAAAATTATTAGTCTTGTTTTATATTGATGCAGATACGTGTTATATAACAAAATATAAAAATCAAAACATACTTAAAATAAAACGATTCCTAAAAACAATCCGTCAAAAATAGTCATTTGCTTTGTTGAAATTGTCGAGAAAGTAATTAATTCCTAAAGTAAAACCAATCCAACTGGTTATCCATAAAGCTTATGTATATAGTACACAAAGGGCAAACATTGTAAAAAATAGTAAGAAATTAAAAATTTAAGCCATAAAAAAAACATGAGACATTTTAATCCTGCAAAAATGATTTTTAATTATGTAAACCACAAAACCAATCTTCATTTTTGTACATAATTTTGTGTGGAAAAAGTGGAAGCTCAACCAAGTTTGTTCACTATGTTTTCTGATTTATTACATTGCTACGACAATTCTTTTCCTATTCTTTTGATTATGAAAAT